ATGGATTGGACTCAGTGATCTCCAGAGTTCCCTTCTAACCCCTACAATTCTGTGATTCTGTGACTCCATACATCATTTAAAATGAAGGCAAACTCATGGTAATCTATGAGCTCTTGTTAAACATTTTTCACATTAAATGGGATATATTTTTTACTGCTGACAGATATTAGAAATACGGGTATCACTACAATTAAAATATTACAGAGAGTAGTGCCTTAATTTCAAGCTTATAGTGGTGAAGTTCAAAATCAGGTTTTGTAGTGAGCAAGGATATGTCACGATGAAGAAGGAAGAAAAAGGCATGTCATGATTATTCTAAAGCTTGACAGAAAACTATAAATCTCTTTCAAGTGAAGATACACAGATCTTTGTGTGGACCTCTGCAGCTAAGCAAACCAGCTAGCCTTTGATGTGCTCATAATTATTAGGGGCTGAGGATTATGTCTTTAGGCAAAGATGTCTAGCAATGGGAAGGTATAGATCAAAACTGACACCATGACAGAAGCGAGTGAAGGGGTGAGATGAGGTGGAGCCAAAAGCAGTTTGGCATTACTACAGACCTCAACTAAAATAAACAAAACAAAACTTAAACTGAAAGGAGCAGAGCTCAAGAAAACTGTAGCATCAGCTGGTGCCCCCCAAGTACTCCCAGATCACAGTTCATCCGCATTTTGGGCAATACCTTTGCATCAACATGCTATGCAGTGAAATGAAACTCATGACACCAAATAAAAGGCTGGGATTCTCAGTTTGCTTGAAATCTGATAGCAAGAGGAAGATGTGTGTGTCAAGTAAGACCAGGAAATGAAGAAGGCTTTGTCATCCATGTCAGAAAGAGTACATCAAGGAGTCATTATGATCAGAAGAGAAACCACTGTTATCAACCACAGTAATGCAGGGCTGGGGAAGGTGACAAAACCCATTGGACAGTTCTACATGTTGTCTGAAATGCAAGTGGGCTCATTTGGACTCTTAAGAATAGGTGAAGATGTGAGTAGGACACAAGCAATTTGGATGCAGCAGGATGTATGTGACACCATACTGGTGTCTCAGACAGACTGCATGAAGACTGTGGCATGTGCCATTAAGAACTAACAGAAAGAACATGTAAGCCATTCAGGGTAAAATACCGAGAACTGAGAAGAAATGAACATTCTCTGCTTAAGGCTCAAGCTGGTGATGTTCCTTGCCAATAAGGGGAAAGCTTTAGGGCCCCTACAGTTTGAATGTCATTTTATGAACAGTGTAAGAAATTGGACCTCAGCCTCTATGAAAATTGGTAAGATATCCTATCTCACTATTACGATGCCTCTGTTAGAAATGCTACCTAAACGTTAGTGTTACTAATACTATGAATTTAATTCTAAGTAGAAATACAGGGCTTCCCAATTTGCCTCTGAACTATGCAGCATTTATCTATCTTGTCACAACACGAATCCCTTTTGGGTAAAAGCTATTGATTTGAAGGTTGAAATCATCTTGCTAGGCCCTAATGTAATTTGTTGGAAGTTGGCCTTGGGAAACTTTCTGACACCGACTGCATATGCTCTTCATTGGATATTCATTGAGCAATGATGTCTGAAAGGCTGAGTTCTTCACCTCCGTGATCATTATTAGTTATGGCATTTCTTAACAGGCTGTGCCATGTCAGTTCTTTGCAACCCAAGTTTTATGCTAGCAACCTGCAGTTCACTGAGAAGATGCACTCTTCCACCACAGACAATGCTGTACCCGGTTACTTCGTCCAGGAGTGCACCTGCGAGGCTACACCCATAAACAAAATTGTTAGTAAGCCTGTAAATATTGTCAACATGGAAGAAAATCCTCTCTGCTTTAATACCGTGAAATGAGGTGCACACAATATTCAAGGCTAAATGAGAACTCCCTGACCTCATTAAGGAACTCGTAGGTTTACTACAGAAATAATTCAATGGGAAAACTTTGGCAGAGGTAATGACAACATCTACAGCCACTGGTCTGCTGATCAACTGGGAGCAAGGAAAGAGGAGGCTGCTGGTGTATACTCAGAGGTGTACGGTACCATTACTGCAATCTGCTCATGCCTCAAGATGCATTTTCACAGGCTGTCAAACATAAAATCTTATGAGAATAATTTTCTTCAGAAGATTTTAATCAGTTGAACAAAATATCTGATTCTGCCAAAACCATAGGCAAGGAATAGCAGCAAGCTCACTCGACACTTCACCCTGCTCAGCAGTATTCTCACGAAACTACAATGCTCTCAAGTTCTATAGGTGTTTCGACTGCCTGAACCCAGCCATTCCTTGTGTTGATGGTGGCTTGTTGGAAACAGTGAATAGCAAACTATGATCTAGCAACGGGCTGAAGACAGCTAAAATTCAGGAAACTTTGAAACAATAAATCTATTTTTAATTTTATCTTGAAACAAATCTTGATTTAATAGATGTGAGGAATCCGGCAATGATTATAGATGACATTTATAAATTGGAGCTGAAATTGTATTGTCATTTTACATCATTTGTAAGGGTTTGAAACTTTTCCAAAAGTTTGTGTTTTAAGTATTTTATGTTTGAAGTAGTCCTATATACAGAACTATTTTAACAAATTAAATATACCTGGGCAATCTAAAAAGCTTGAGAACTGGCCAAGAGCAGTAACTCAAGTAGAGGTGAGCTGAGTTTTGGGGATGGGCTAGCTCAGGAAATATCACTAGATGCAGACATTGGTTCACCTCAGTACTATTTAGGACAAAACACTGTACTGTACCATATATAGGAAATATGCTGTATTCACATTCCCTAAGGTAGTGCTCAGCATAATTTGGGTCTCATTTGCTTAGCTTGCTGCCTTCTTGTAGGAGCCTCAAGTGGGCATTCAAGGTGTTTGGGAATTGACTTAGGAAGTATGACCACTGGTGACTGAGTGGCAGAAAGCCCCAGGAAGCAGGAACTCAATGATGAAGACTCAGCTTAGGAGATGGATAGGAGACAGAGACTTGTTTGGAACTGCATTTTAAAGCTTCTGGTGCAGGCACAATTTTCACTGCCCTTCACAATATATTAAAAAAATGCAGTCATTCACATAGAAAGCACTTGTTAGTCTTCTTGTGTTATCACTGGGCTCACAAAACTCATTCTTCATGATAACTTCTTTTTTTTTCTTTTTCCTAACAACAGTTTCTGAAATAGAAACATTCAAAAGAAAGGACCATGGAATAAAGTATGATAAAACAAAGCCTGTGGCTGAGATTTCAAGTGTTTAAGGTGAGATCCAATCTGAATTGAAACGAACTCACGGGAGACTCCTGTTTATTTTCATATAAAATGAATTGGATGCAAATTCATTACTGTTAATAGACTGAATCTCACTGACAGTTTGTCCCAGGGGCATTGAATTTACTAAGTATTTTAAGTCACCCTGATAGCTAATTATTCAGCAAATGAGAATACTTTAAAGACTTTATCATATAAAATGACTTTAATAATTCATGCTTATGGGGAATTCCAGGACGGCTCTCAAGAAGGGGAACACTGTGTACCTGCACATTTGTAACTGTATTTGTACATGTATTACCACTTGTGATCACCTCAGCTTTCTTCCCTACCTTTTTTTGTGTCAGTGTCTATAAGATGGTGAAGTTCAAAACTGCCTACCTTCAGAAATCTATTAATAGTTTGCAAGGAATTAAAGACAGATTAAGGTTGAATTTTTCTGGATTAAGTGCATTTTTACATGACTAACATGCTAAGACAATAGATAAAATCAGAAACAACTCTTCAGCATCTCAATTCTATTAGGCAATTCTAGTGGTCAGAGAGCTTTGTACAAAGGCAGAGATGCAAAAGTGACTTAGACTTGAAAATGGAAAGTGTTGAGGATAGTTCAGGATAGGCACTGCTTGATTTCTGCTCTGCCGGAGAGGTAAGATGGTGACACTGCACTGCACAGCCTTGCAAGTCAGCAACTTGTATCTGTGTACATAGAAACAGCCTCACAAACTTACATACAGCCTCTCTGTACTTCCATATATTTGAAAGGCATTTGCTTATATACTCTGGGTATAGGTACACAGTTCTGATTTTTAGGTCCCCAAAATAACCCTATGTTGTTCAAAATCTCAAAGGTTTTCTGACTCCTTCTTCCAAGTGCCAATCATGCTCTGTATTCTTGGCAAGAGACAAGGACAGAAGTGGCTTTATCTAATACTCAAGGTGGGATAAGCAAATTAGCATTGTGCACATTTTACATAAACACCCTGTGTCCACTTTTTTTCCCCTCTGCCTACTTTCTCTCTGCTGGAGGTCAGCTTTCTAGACCTCTGTAGACACTTTCTGCTTGGACTGTGTTTTAGGCCAGAAGAATCAGAATAATCTACCTATTTGTATACATCTCTTCATGATAATTCAAAGGAAACACATGGAGAAAACAAATGAGTTATAACTTCCCTTGTCTGAAAAGTTGTTTGTGTTTGAACTGTTAGTCTAACATTGCAGTTTTTGAATCAGTCCTCTTTACAAATCCGCAGGAACCACTGAGTGTGAAGCAATCCCTTTACAGCCAGGATTGAAGCCTTACATTCTCATCAGTAAATGTTTCCTCTGAACGCTTCCAATGTAGTCATGACGTGACTCCAGTTACATGACTGCATGTACAAGCAAATGGGTGAATGAGATTGCCATACCTGGCCTTTAATATTGGCACGAAAAAGATTTTTGGATTCAGGTCCTTATTTGAGGGGAATTTGAGTTCATTTTGAGCAGTCTGAACTTTTCTACACAGCCATAGTATGCTAATCTTTTTTGTTCTGCAGCTCCTACATTGACACAATCCTCTCATGGGCACTGAAAGCTCTGTCATTTTTATAAGCTCCACTCTTCAGTTATGAATAAAAATACTGTCTCACTTTCAAATAAAACAGTGCAATCGAACCACTAAGCCCCCACAAATATAACACAGTGTTGTACAGGACAAGTATTGATTACAACAAAAAGGGCTTTTTAAACACCATTAATTCTTACCAATTCCAGTAGTTATTGATTCTGCATCAATGTCATTAGCCTTTTTCTTCGCCACTTCAGCTAGTGCCAATTCACCCTTATCTAGAGCGAGGTAATGGATGTCCTTTGGAAATAAAAGAAAAATAAAAGATTAATCTAAAATGAATCTCATAGGCATAACAAAAGGGAATTTAAAAGAAAGAGGTTCTTTTATTATTTAGATCACAAACACAGATGGAACTGATGAACCTAGCTTTACATTTTAATTCTCTCTCAATGCACATTTATTATCTGACTTGTGCTGGTGAATACAGCATTTCTTGTTAACAATGGATAAAATGGTGACCAATCACACACTGATAAAAGTGAAGCTGTTGACTTAGTGTATAAATGAAACCAGTCTCTGTGCTTTTAGGGAAATGTTGTTCGGTACAAAAATTAGAAGAGAATTGCTAGAAGAAGGCTCTGAGTAACCACAATGGAAGAACTGGAACTCTTCCCTCAGTTTTAATATTAAAACTTCCACCCAGTGCATGACTTCTGTGGCAAAGCTAATTGGGGTGGGGACTAATTTTTGTTTGGAGGCTGTCATGACACACTGGCTGTGCTTTGACTAAGAGAGAAGTTGCCCTTGTGCTGATACAGGAGGAAATACGAACAGTGACACTTGCTCAAAGGTTTTAACCTCCACACAGGTGACATGGTTCCTGAGGCACTCTTGGATCTCCTCATCACAAATATACAAGGGTTTTTCCAAAAATGTTGTCTAGCATGAATAGTTGCCAATACTCTATATCCAGGGATAAAAACCAAGGGCTTCATCATGGTGCCCTGTTCAACTGGAAGTCTTTTTATTGTGTGTTAACCTTTGAGGTGTAGAACACCTGCATTACTTGCAGCACATTTTACATGAGAATATATTCCTGCTGACAAGTTGCAATCTCAGTGGCCTTGGTTTTCGGTCCCTTGATTTTCAGTCTCTTGGTTTTTGGTCTTTTGAAACTTGAAGTAAAGTTTCATCCTTTCACTCCATTAATGAAGATACAACTAACACTCTTCTCTTCTGGTGGCACAGCCAGGGGCTGCTCTGTGCAAGAACTGAGACAAATGAAGGAAGGAGGAAAACCAAGATCATCAGGCAAAGTTCTTCCCACCCCAGCCCTGATTGCTAAAAGTGCCACCTGTATTCTTCCCTCATTTAATTTAAACAAACAAACAAACAAACAAACAAAAAACAAAGAGAGGACCAAACAGTTATGAGACCATTTCCACAGGAGAATGTGGTCCTAACTGACAGGAGCCCGAGTGTGGAGGAGATGCTAACACAGGTGTGACTTAAAAATGTGCAAGTGTCTTGGAGCAAAGTACTGGCTTCTGAACTTGTTGTGAACTTTGCACTTCCTCTCTTTGTAGGTCTAACATGGCTGTCACAGAAAAGGGCCTGAGCAGCAAGGTATGATTTCTATGAAGATTAAGCCTCAGATATTGTCAGCTTATTTAGATAACAAGAGAGAACCTAAGGGCTCTCCGACAAGTCTGAGCTTACAGAGATTTGAACGTATAGGCAGGTTATGTTCACCTATTTTAAAATGCATTCTGACTATGATTGATGCCTCTCTTCTTGTAATTTAATCTAAGGGAGGCATTGTCTACCTCAATGCAGATTTAAATAATAAACCTGGGGAATTGCAATAGGAGCAATCGCAGCGAATGACAAAGTTCGTGCAGTTATGAGGTACATCAGAACATCCGTTTTTCTTTCAGAGCTTGTTTTGACCATGTTCTTACGCTAGAGACGTCTGAAGATGCTATGTACCCACCACTCACTCATGGGGGTTTTGCAAGAAGCAGAAATACAGCAGTAGGATGACAAGGGGCTTTCTGTGAGGCTCCTCATGTTGTTGGCACAAAGAATTTATTTCGCTTTTCAAATGCTCTTGTTCCCATCTCTAAACAAGCTTCAGAAAGAAAAGATACATTTTTTTCTTTATAAAAACTGCTAGTTAGACTATTTCAGATAATATTTAAGTGGTTCTCATTCAAATCGGCCACCAAAACGATGTCTTCTAAGAGTTTATAAATCTTTGAGCAGGACAAGACCAGGAAATAAATAGAAGATGAAGGAAAACCACTAGATTACAGGTTGCCTTAAAGAAGGGCAGGGAAACTTCAAGAATTAATATTTGCTACTGATTTTTTCACACCGTTATCTAAGAATTTACCATGTTAAATATCACATCTCCCTCCAAAAACAACGGTGACAATTTTCAGCCGCTTATCAAGAGTTTGCTGAAAGGGCTGTGTTTTATCATTGAACAGCCTGATTACTTTTTGGACACTTCCCTTTTTACCCTCCTCTTTGTGACTCACAGAGCTGGCCCTGGGTGAGCAGAAGTCATTTGAAACACCGATGTGCATTTGTCTATGGGATATTTCTGGGCAACATTCCAACACGTCTTCGAAACACGCGCTTTCCTCATCAGCGCATCGCCCAAGATCTGACACTTTTATTAAAGTGTCTTTTCCTTGCATTTTTTTGCTACCTTTGGTACGTGCGATGGCCTTTTGAATTTTCAGCAGCTGAGAGCTGGAGCATACTACAAAAGGATTTAAAGCTAACGACCCCTGCATTGCTTGATCTTTTCTGTCACAGATTGGATCAGTCGCTGTCCAATAAATGTAGCTGTTGTTCATGATATTATGTCCTTTTCGGTTTTATTTTTTTATTGAACTTTGTAGGAGATGGTAATAATTGATGGACTCAGATGTGACGTGAGGGTAAAGCTTACGGGGAGACGCAGCAGTGCCTGTGTGCCCTGTTTTGGCATCATACTAGTGACGCTAGAGCAAGAAGGTTAAGTTGGATGCTTTTCTAGTTTCTTTTTCATTTTTATGAAAGAAATCACACCTTAGAGAGCACTCCTTTAAACTTCTTTGCAATCTCAAAAGAATCACGAAGGCTGCAAAGCTCTGTTTTGTGAAAACAAATTTGGCTCAGAATAAACTCTCCAAGATATAGGATGTTTCCTTACAAGTCAGAGAAGACAGGTATGTGACATGGATCCTCCGTACTTCTCTGTTATACAGAATCATAGAATCACAAGGTTGGAAAGGACCCACAAGATCACCAAGTCCAACCGTCCTCCCATCACCATTGCTACCACTAAGCTACGGTTTAGTAGCTCTCTATCCTTTTCTCTTTCTATTCAATTAGTAATTTTCTTTTCTTTTTCTTTTTGCTTATGCCATCAGATATCCTCCTCAGTCTACTACTTCTTCTCAAAATCCCATCATATTAACAAGAAATGAGGCGGCGTCACTCTTAGAGCCCGCGGAGGTTTTACAAACGGATTTGGTAGGTCTGTAGAACAGCAGTACAAGTAATTGACCTATATATTACTTATTCATACTGCATGTAATTGCAAATACTTTAAATATAGGTAAAGTCAAGTTGTATGCTGTTAATTGCATTTTGACCTATATAAACAATATATACAAATTGTGACGTGTTAAGAAGTGAAGGATGCACAAACCTTGCTTAGCAGTGGCGTTTTTACATTAGTACTTAGAAGGACTGTAAGTTACATGGGTAACCATATTAATGTTTAAGGGCATTGGTGAGATGGGATGGGGAGACGCGACTGTGCAGCCACACTTTGCTCCCTCCCTCCCATGTTAGCATCTTTGCCCCCACCTCCTGACCCAACATTGGTGTCTCCTTGGTGCTGCCATTAGTGAAAGAAAGGCGAGAAGAAGGACTGTGTATGCAATGTCCTCAGCCCACGAGAGGGCCTCCAAGATGGCAGGCCAAATGACACTTACACACGACTGCAGGGCTCACCTCAACTGGGGGTAAAATCGGCACTGAAAAACTTAACAGTTAAAACAAGCAAAACAAAAAGAGAGAAGAAAAAGGCAGAGCTAAAAAGAGGAAAAATCAAGGCGGGTATATATAAAACACGTAATGAATTTCCTAAATGCCTGACACTTCCATCACAGTCTTTTGATGCATACTTAGAAAAGTTTATCGCAATACTCACATCTTTCTAATTAGATGGAACAAGCCAGATGATTAGAGCCGTGAAAAAAACATCAAAAGGTTCACACAACTTTTTATATAATTAGAAGGGAATTTTCATAACCCATAAAAGTAGGATTTAATTGTGTAATTTAACATACAATTTAAATATCAAGATCAAACTAGCAGGGCAAGTGACTTAATGGGATAAATGATATTAACATCTAGTGTCAAAGCTTAATTTAAACAACAGAATGTCTTCATTATGCAAAAGAGTCAAGCAAAGGAATCGTTCAAAGGGCCTTTCTTTTTTTTTAAACAAAGCCCTTTTCCATTGTTTCTTTGAAAACAATGAAATCAGCTGTGGAGCAGCAACATGCTGAGAGACTGGGAAAGCATGACTGGCTTTGTCCATCTGACCTCGCTGTGACATTGTGGTGCAAGATCTTATAAAACAAGAGCCTCCTGCAGAGCTCACACAGAAGACCTTTCAAGAGCTGGTTAATTTTACTTTTGTAGCTAATTAAATGGGAGGGGGCAGAGAGTGCATGAAATGTAAAAACCCTTGGGTTGATGCTGCTGAGCTTTGTTGTTTTAAAAGTACCTGTAGAAGCGTTCATAATTTGTCACTTTTCACAAAACCCTAAGAGACAAACTGAGAGCATTCAGGATCCCCAGGATATGGTCAGCACTTGTGTCCAAGACTCAGCAGTTGTACGTCTTAAAGGAACGGATTAGAAACGTATAAGCTTATTAGAGTGCAAGATGACATTCACACACATCAGGACAGACGAAGAAGGTGAAAGTTCAAAAACATAAACATTAATTCCTAGAAAATAAAGAGTAGCCTTTAGGCCATGCTAGGTAAAACGTCAATGATTCTAAATTGACAAGTTTTGAGATGGCAAGGGGCAAGCCAGGTAGAATAACTCTGTCTTCAGTATGTGTCTAAGGCTGCAAATGACACGGATCCTTTTTAATGTGCAAAAAGCTGACAACTAACATCTTGACAACAGCCTCTGTCTCCAGAGATGACTCACCATAAAGAGGTCCCGAGCACCTATGTCAACAGCTAGTAGAAATGCTTTTTCAAATCTCTGATACCTGCAAGAAAAAGGGAAATATGTCACTTGCTGAGGCTAATGTAAGACCTGCATCTAATTTTGTTAATGAGCAAAGTCCTTTTGATTCTCCTCAAAAGCATTGCCAAAGCTTTACTTGAGTAAAAGGGACCGCAAAACAGTAAGGCAGGACAGTGACTCTCTTCATCTTTTAAAACCTTCATTCTTCAGTCCCATCAGATCTAGTTGAATCTGAAGGATCAGAAGCTCCTGTATATTAATTAATTAATCCTTGAAAAGATTCCACCAATTACATAGATAAATGTTAGCTCCAATAACAGTGGTAGGAAACTCAAAATCCTCTACAGAAAAGACTAACCCCAAATCTTCTGAAGTCCCCAGGGATTTCAGAAGGCTTTATCTCCAGAGATGACAATCTTCTGCCAAGGATGCAATGCAACCTTTTACAAGAACCTCTGAAGTCAGGTCAGGACTCTTCACAGGTGTTTGTAGAAGACTGCATTGGGTTTTGTCATTACAGTGCAGCTATCTGAAGATGATCATCCACTCGAGTCATGCTGAACAGTCATGAATGCCCAGGCACTGCTTTTCCAGTGGGGTGGAGGAGGTGACACTGCTTTGCTCCTATCTCTCTCAGCATTGGCAGTCTGCCACAAGTCCTGAGAGTTTTCTGAAGATCCCATGGTGAAGCAGGCTGTGTCAGTGAGTGAAAACAAGGAATGGAAGAAGAGAGAACCACACACCAACATTACCTGTAGACAAGCTCTGGAACATACCACCTCAGAATCTCCTAGATGTGCAGCAAAGTAGGAAGGGAGCAGTGTAGATGCAGAACTTCCCCACTACCATTAACCCAGGAGAGCTTTATCACATCATTTTGGTGACCACCATTTGGGTGGCTGAAGGTTCACTGAACAACAACTCCTTCCATTAGTAAGGACACGGACTGTTACCTCCTTTCTACCCACAGACCACACACTGTCTCCTGGCAATTACTGCAAATACCTACATGGGACAGAAATGCAGTTGAAGGTTGTGTACATCCCCTTATATGAAATGTTTGGGATACTGACTAAAGCAGGAGGGAAAAGCTATCAACTGGGAGCTTTCCGAGAATACATACAGCATTGCACTGGGCTTATACCTCTCTCATACTAGATGTAGATAACCACTATGCGACCATCACTCAGTACCATGAAAAAGTGATCCTGTTTGAACACATTTTCTGCTACTGCCTGTTTTAAACTGTTTAAAAATCCCTACAGAAATGGATTTGGTGAGATTATTTTAATTTGGGAAACTACGAAACAGCTGTCTCTTATTTAGAGTTCTGAAGTAAACGATACCATGCAGAATGACTTCTCCGTTTTCCTGTTAGTGGCAATTTTTTTTCTTTTCCCCTGTTCACAGTTCCATAAATTAGTCAGTTGTTGATGCTTGAAGTCTGGGAAGGAGACACTTTCTTTATCTCCATGGGATATCCCACTGTAATTTTTCCATGATAGAAAGGTGCAGTTTGTGCTCTCTCAGTGTATGCTGTCAGACAGCATCATACAGATGTCAATATGTATAGAATTCTGCATGTTGAAGGTATCTTAGGAAATGCTGTAGTTCTTCCTAAGGCTAGCATGAAAGGAGACCTGGGCATCTTCCTTTCCCCAGGTAGGCGAAGGAGTTCCCTATTTTGTCCCATATTGCAATTCCTGCTTCTGTCCAAAGCCTAAGTGGTTCCCTACCTCCCTCTTGCTATAGCCTTATTGCTCTCCCCTCTTCCACTACACATTTCAAATGATTCAGCAAATGGCAAGATAGAGCTGTTGAGGACTCTTCTGCAGGGAATAACATCTGCAACAAGAAGGCATATAATATTTTGGCTTAAGTAGGAAAAGAGACCTGGAGTGAGGAGCCCTGTCCTCCCCAGAGGTAATCTCTGTGCTGTGTCTTCCAAGCACTAATCTGCAGCCCTCCTCACAGAACCTGTTTCAGGGAGGGGAAGAGATGAAGCAACATTAACCTCTTGATCACCAGGGAAAGAACAGTGTCCATTGTCCTACCATGCACATCTATTATCTCTGAAGTTTTTCAATGAGCTTTCTATGAAGGGTTTTCCAGTAAAATGCACTGTGTTGTAATGATGCTTCTAAAGCTTTGCTTTAATTAAGACAATTAAGCACATGTTAAGATAGGTGTATCTTAAATAGCAATCATGTTTATCTTCTTCTGGCACATGTTTCTTTTCAGTTACAAGTTAAATCTACTTTCTTAGTACTTAGAGGCAAAATTGGAAACCAAACCGAAACAGGCTTTACAACCAGCTAAAAAAAGTCACCATCATAATTCTGTTTTTCCAAAGTTAGAACCATACAGACTGTTCCAATGACATTCGCTTTAGCAAAGCAAAAATGCTTGCACTAAAAAATGTAAAGTAACTTTTCCTTTTGATTCTCCTGCAGAACAGAGTCATGGCCCAAAAGCTGTCAGTTCTTCACTGTTTCACAAAGCATTCAACATTTTTTCCCCTTTAATCAACATATACACTTTGGTCTCATTATGGCCCCTATTCACAAAACTGTGAAGTTAGCTTGTTATTTTCAGAGCTGTACTGAGGGGGAGAAAGGAAGAAAGGGCTGCTCAAGAAAGAAATGCTCTTCACTAACCAAGAGAGCTGGAAATAACAATCACAGACACTTCATAAATTATTAGACATGGAATTGCTTTAAAATACGGTGGAGGTTTCAAACAAGGATGACAAGTTTGCATTACTTAGGCAAACCGCATTAAAGCAGCCAAGAATATCCAGGTTTTTTTAAGCTATTCTTACTAGAAAACACTTGTTATTTTGAGTCTTTTTTCATGGAAGCTGCGTTGTTCTTATTCTACAGAAACAATTACAGCGAGTCCTGCCCAGCAGGAGAGAGATCTCAAGCTCATAACACCTCTTTTAAAGGCATGCTTTGTCGTGAGAAGCCTGGTCCTGAAATGCATGTCTTCCCCCCTCTCCTCCACCTTGTTACTTATGCTTACTTCACAATAACTCCAGCAATCAAGACTTACACCTCCCTTGAAAAAAAAAGAGAGATAAGGAAATCTGCCTGCAAACCAACTTGTTTGGTCAAAGCGAGAGCCAACAGAAATCTGACCTTCAAGATTAAAACCCACAAACTGAGATTAAGTATACCGGTCAGATAGGAAGACATCTCTCTGCGAGCTGTTTAGCACATACAATATGAAATCTAAATTCCCCTCTAGTCATGTAATATTGTTATTACACACTCTTACATGATCTTTCTCCCTGTCTTACAAACCTCCAAAAGGTTAGCTGTTAGTGCATCTGTTTTATGGGCAAAGAAGCAGGGGTATGAAAGCATAACAGGGGCAAGAATGGTGAGGACAGAGAAGAAGCCAGATCTCCCGTGGCAGCGTGGCTATGTGCATTCTGCCTATGTGCCTTCTGAGAACGTGACAGAGCTGAAAAGATGCCAGGAAAGCCACAATTATTTGTTTTCTTCTTAAATAAAGCATTTAAATAGTAAGTTTTGCAAACATCTCAAAAGGAGAATTTTGTCATATGCATGCCACAGCAATGGAAACTCAGATTGGGCACTTAAAGACAGAGATAGGTTTTCCAGGCTGAAAATGGTCGACTTAAAAATATTTTTCTATAATACTAAAACACATAAGAAGTTTGGGAATGAGAAAAAAACAAGGAAGATGAAGGGAAGAGAAAGAGCTCATGCAAGCAAGAGAGAAATGTAGTGCAGGAAAGATGGAAACATTTCTTTAGGGACTAGTTACAACCAACAAGCCTTCTTAGACATGCCCATCGACCATGTAAGCATATTCCATGTGCTGGGCTGATAAAGGAAGGTTGCAGCCGTTTTCTTCCTTGTCTTCAATAAGGGTACACAACATTTAGAAAATAATCTGCAGGGGAAGAGCTGTGGCACAAATAACATTTATAAGGCAATCCTTTTTAGTGGAAGAAATTTCAGAGTCCTCCTCATCTCGCAGTCCAATCAAGGGTGATATGTATTCAAAAAGTGAATATTAAATATGCACAGAGCAAACAGAACAGAAAAAAAAAAAAAGAATATTGAAATAATTTACATGCAATCAAACTACGCTGAAATTAAGTTTTAATTGTTCAGTATTCTGTGATGCATATGCAGATTTTAAAGTATTCAGAATATCAATCAAGTGTTTACTTACATCAGGCAATTGTATTTAAGCATACAAAACAGATGATGGAAATATGTTCAATCAGCTACAGCTCCCAACATTTACTGCAGGGTTTATGTGATCGCTTTTAATTCAGTTATTTCATTTAATATTTCAATTTAATAGCTCATTCTTTCATTCAATTTCTAGGCATCTTGCCCATTTCTTAAACACAATAATAATAATTATTCATAAAAGAAGCTGTTTCCCATAAGTTCTCATATCAGCAATTTTTGGAACAGAAATGGTTTTCATGCTTTTTTTTTCCTAAAAAAAAAAAAAAAAAAAAAAGTTATTATCTGATTTTTTTTTTTCCCTTTTAAATTAGACAATATTAAAATAAAGAACAACGTCTGTAAAATGACTCTGAACTCTGTTCAGTGGAATTCTGAGCCAGAATAATTAGATTATCTGGTTAAAGAATGTAAAAAGTGTGTGGCTAGGTTGCTAAGTGGTTGATTTTAAATAGGAATGGCATGGTTTTTAACCAACTGTTGAACATAAAGCCATTAATTTAGACTTGTAGCTGCACTGCAGAATACAGCTTAAACACCTTCAGGTATACAACTGACAGCCCTGAAATTCTATTGACCTTCAAGGAGATATTTTGAAGTCAAGTTTCAGATAACTCTGAAGGGTGCCCTTCCCCAGCAGGTTGCTCTCAGCTCCCATCCAACGATGGCTGGAGCAAGAATCAATGCAGACTGTGTTTGGTGTTAAGTAGTGCATTTGCTGAATGGCAGAGCGTAACTGCTGTACTTTTGCACCATTTTGATGAAGTCACGCCATTATGCTTCAAGGCTG